TCATCGAAATGATGACAACCAAGTCGTCAAAGCCGAAAATGCCAGCTAGTCACCCGCCAGTGATCAACATGATCACAGCCGTGATATTGGCATCGAAGGAGCGTAAGGGTAGCTCGCTTGCTGCTATTAAAAAGTACAATGATTCGAACTATAAATTTGATATCGAGAAGCAGGTGGCACACATTCGTCGTGGTATTGTTCATGGTGTCGAGAAAGGTGTTTTGGTTCGAGTTGGAAACAAAGGCAAGGGTGCATCTGGTAGCTTCAAAGTCGCTGAGAAGAAAGTTGCTGAGGCAAAGCCGAAGGTTCCAAAGCCTAAAACTAAATCACCATCGACCAGCAAACCCAAATCAACTCCGAAAAAACCCAAAGAAAAGAAAGTCGCTAAACCAAAAGTTAAGACACCCAAAAAGCCTAAGGCTGCTGCAACCAAAAAGCCGTCGACTAAGAAACCTTTTTCTCTAAAGAAGTCAAAGTCTGTGGTTAATAAGGCAGCTCCGAAGAAGAAGTAAGTGGTGTGATGTTACCTGTTTAGGTGCTGCTACTACGGAGAACGTGACAAATACCGATATCAATTAAAAAGTTTTTTCACAATCTTCCTGCTTCTAATCGATTCTGAATAAAACACAAAGTTTGTGTACATTTTCAACTCATTGTACACTTTTAACAGGATATTTTAAGCGTACCCTTACAAATTTATGAATTCAACCTAAATTTGACTTTCAGCCCACGATTATCGTACGGTAATCGACGTCGTGTTATAACTATATACAATTAATGAATGTAAATATGCAAACCAGCTAGCTGTGTCACAAGACAAGCTCTCACCTAGAATCCTTCAGGCCAAACGAAAATAGGCAAACCTAAAAACATATTACGCGGAGAATCGGCAGAAGACATTAAAAGAATGAACCCCAATCGAATAGAACTTGAAGCGAGAGAGGAGGATAGAGTAAGATGGAAAATGCTGTTCGGCGGCCTATGCTCCATTGGGTATGTAGTGTCTCCACATATATTCCAGTTCGCTTACATCTAACTTGGTTAAGCCCTTTCGATTAATTTATTTAACCAAGCCATTTGTATTGCAACTGTTCATATGTACCATTCGTTCTTATTATTGTCTAGTTTGTATGAGCTCACACGACATGTTCCTCTTGTCATTTGACCTTGTCATCTATTCGTCGCTTTTATTCATGTGTGCCTATTTCGCTTGTTGCGTGTCTGTCTTATATTTGCCTGACTATATATTCTTAGTCATGCTCTATTTCTTTGAGTTGACTCGCTAGTCTCTCCACTTCGTCGTATTCACATTGCTTCTCCGCTTCGCTTTGTGGTGTGTCCCAAATAAACGTATTCGTTACTTCGAATTCATCTTTTGATTTATACCCGTCAGACGCCACTTAGTAACGATGGTCTGAACGAGCTAATAACGAAACTTAAGAACACGCAGTAAATTGGACCCCACAGGTTTAACAGGCGTAAGTAAGTAGGTAAATCTGCAAAAATTGTGTTTTCTATAACAATCAACTTTAAATTTTCTGTATTACACTGTTTGCATAATGTAAGAATAAAAAATTCACTTAAAGTTAAGTAATTTAACATTTATTTTAAAAGCTTATTAAAAATATCAAACAATGTCAACATACTACTGTATTCATCACGTTAAACTGAATTTTCATAATCAGTGTGCTACTTGTCATTCAGAAAAATAAATTACATTTTCGAAATGCAAAAATGATAGACATAAAGATAGTTAATATAACCACTTAATAATCAGATAACTGTAAAGCTGAAAACACCACATCACATTTCAAATCAACCATAAAACACGTAAATTATTTGTTTTCGGTACTGTCCACCATTAAAAAAAAACTACATAATGAAAATCCAAATTTAATATTTTCAAGACATTTGTTGAAGATAAATAATTGAAATAGCATTACGGGGTTGTGAAGATTGTTAAGTTACACATTTAAAATCATGAATCGATCAATGTTAGACCACCATTAGAAATCTGGATGCACTGAAAGACGGCCGTTTCGTCCTGGTATAGGAATCATCAGCAGTGCGCATCCATGACTCCTGCACCTCGCAAGATTCGAACCTAGGACCTTCGGCCTTGTGCGCGAACACCTATTCTCTGGACGACTGAGCCAGTATCTAACGGTGTAACTGTCTAAATTCACTCAATTAACGGAGTTGCGCAACGTCATAAACAGTCTTCGTTAGTTACTGTCTAAACCCGAATAGGTTGAACTTCACTGGTCATGTCTTCCCACTAGAACTCGGAGAAGATTCCTCACGGAGCTAGTCGGTAATGAGCACACGTCATTGCATTACGGGGTTGTGAAGATTGTTACCTTACACATTTGAAACCATGAATCGATCAATTAGAAATTGATCGAAGTTAGACGTTAACACCGTTGAATGCCGGCTCAGTGGTCCAGAGGTTAGGCATTCGCGCGCAAGACCAAAGATCCCGCGAGCTGCAAGAGTCGTGGATGCGCGCGGCTGATGAATCCTATACCAGGACGAAATGGCCGTCTTTCAGTGCTTCCAAGTTTCTAATGGTAGTCTATCAATGATTGACTGATGATTTCAACCTGTAATACATACAATTTGAAACGGGACACTTTAATGTTATTTGTAAATGAGAGTGTTTTCAAATTTTATCCTGTATAAAAATGTAATTTTTAAATTTCTTTTGAATTAAAAATGAATGAATAAAATATCTTGTCGGTTGACAATGAACTCATAAGATAGATGAATTCAAAAAAAAAAATTCACTATTCTCACCCGAAGTGCATGAAACCACTTTCAAAAGAAAGTTATTATCTCTCATGTCACCAAGGATAGATAAATTGTAGTTACAATGCATCTTACATATATCTTGGTTAACCGACAAGCCCGCTTCACATGCACATCGCTGCTTTTTAGGCAACACAAGGACTTTCACTTTAGCCATTTAGTGATCACTTCTGCCCCAATCGGGAACAGACATGTTGTCCAGTTTGGCCCGCAAGCACGTCGGGCGTCCAAAAAGCACGCTCACGAACAGTGGCTCCCTTTCGGACAGTTATAAATCAACAAGATCCACTACCCACAATCCTCAATCGGCATGGGCGACAAGGCGGGCTTATCCAGCCCGACCTGGCACCCTGAACGGATTACCGAGCCATCCAGCAGTTCACTAACCAGCAGCGATTCCAACCGTCTGGCCTCCAACTGCCTTGTGCTGATACAATCTACCGGAGCCCTCAGACCCCACATGAAGCTACAGATCGAGTTTGTCCCAGAAGGTCAGCCGGAATGTACACACTTCCATGAGGAAGATGTCATGAACTAAACCAAGCGCAAGCACTCAGCAAAGTAGGGTTAATCCCACTACATAAGTGGGCAGACATAATTGGCGTCCAGTACCCTTTAGCACCGGGTCGCATAATCCGATTGGAGACCCTTGTTTGAGGGGCCTCGACGCCAGTTTACACAATACAGCGAGATGCACAGTGTTCGGGACAACCACATAGGGTCGGGGTCAATAGTCCAAGATCTCTACGGCTGCTTCCCCAAACAGAACGTCTAGGGCCGCTTTCAATCATCCTTGGAATCTACATCCCTTTCAAGGTATTGGCTACTACGGAATCATAGAGGACAAGTCCTCAAACCATTATCGGAATTTACCTACGCTCAATAGACGGGATTCAAACTTGGAGGCGTTCAGTCCTAATCACCCAGAGTGGCTAACCATATCCACAGCCTTGCGACCATGAACACGCGCCATTATTCTGGATTATGCTAGGCACCGTATCCTAAGCGTTCGGAACGGCTTTTAGCCGCAGAGCTGTAAACAACACCACGTTGCCTAGCAGGACCACAAAGAGTTAGCTGCCACCACAACCTCCAGAAGGCTCCATTAATGCGCGTAACCTAACATACCCATTCAATTAGATAACGAGGCATTTGGCTACCTTAAGAGAGTCATAGTTACTCCCGCCAAGGATAGATGAATTGCAGTTACAATGCATCTTATAAAACTATGCATCTACAATCTACTGATAATTAGCAACTGTGAATAAACAAAGTTGGATACACCCACTCATGATAGCTGATCATAAACCAAACATACAAATCCATGCAAAACAGACAGACAGATACAACGCAGAATTTCATACGACGTACGTACATCAGTTCAGGTTGCCATACCACATCAACACACAGACGCAACTGTCTGTCCAAATCCAAGAGTGATAGCGATAGTAGAAGTATTAGCAGTAATGGAGAAGATTGGGTAACGACGATATGATTTTAGAAGTAAAGTTCAGTGAGATGAATTTAGAAGGAGAAAGATAGAGATGATGAGGAATTCAGAAGGTTAGAATTAGAGAGAACACAAAGAGTGGATGCACCTGCGCGATTGCAAACGATTTTGAGCCATGTCGTTGAAGGTCTCTAACCATTGGTGGCTTTTGTCTCGTGGACCCCAACCACGTAACCTACATCTACCAACATGACTCAGTCCACTTGTCAGTGACTTCATGCATTTCTGCTATGTTTTGATTTGGCTACTACTAGCTTTCCATGCAATATCATACACAATATATGCCTCTACACTAGATGCTTTAAAAGAAACTTTGACTGCGACTACATGATAACCCGAGTAGATAGTCATCAGATAAACACACATTGCCCATTTTGATTCGAAATTAAGAAAAAAAAGGTTATATTTTATTAAGTTGTGTATATTTATCTTTGTTCCAAATTACATCAGATTACTAGGCATAAGTGTAATCTATTTGTAAACAATAAATATACAATAAGTAAGAAGAATATATATATATAATTAAATCTCTAATGAAAATAATTGAATTCCTGTTTGTTTGTTTGTTTGTTTGTTTGTTTCATTGTATTTTAACAAAATAATCACATCAGAAAAAATTGTTTCAATCAGTTGTTCAATAATTGTTACATTGTTCAATAATAGTGAATGTGAGAATATGCGTATGTGTGGTATGTGTGTGTGTGTACGTATGTGCATATAGGTGATTCAACCAACAGTTGTTAGCTTAGTTAGTGTAAAAATTATTTTTTACAAATTTTAAATATTGATGTACAAAATTGTATGAAAGTTGTACGAAATTGATGTGACATGGAACAATACAATATAAAATTAATACCATTATTCACAATGGTCAACAGATCCATAAAATCACCTAATGCATTATAGACAGTATCTGTGAAACAATCACCAACCAATCCACTTAAAAATAATAATATAGCCTGTAATTAGATGTGAAAAAAAAAAGAATGAATCAAATAAAAAGCGCCAGATAAATAAATTGATCAACAAATTTAATGTAACATATACATGAGTAAAGAGAGATTAATATTTATGTCACAGTGCAAGATGATTGGTCGGATTAAATTAGCAGCAGTAAAACGATTCGACAAACATGACTTGATTTATTGATTACACAGTAACTAATCATTTTGGGGCACAGTTTTGGAGGTTCGCAATTTTTTACACATTTGAAATCATCAATCAATCATTGTTAGACCACCATTAGAAACCTGGAAGCACTGGATGGCCGTTTCGTTCTGGTATGGGACTCATCAGCAGTGTTTCCAGGTTTCTAATGGTGGTCTAACAATGATTGATTGATGATTTCAAATGTGTAAAAAACCAATCATTTGCCAACTTATTAGTCATAAAATGAGGTCAGTGGCTGTTTGAATAGCACAGCACTGAACCCGAATGATACGAGATCGAATCTTAAAGAGTAATAACAGTCCTCTTGAGATAACACAGAAATACCGTTGTGAAGGAGTGTCAGATAGTACATAATCGGAGTTTATAGTTTACAGCTGATTTATTTTTAGCCATCTCATCTATTTGTGATTTATTCTTTCAGAATTTCATTCATTCGTGAATTTGATTGAATTTTTCAAGTTGAATGACTTTATATCACAAAAATAAGTACAAATTTATTAGATTTCGAAATCTTTTTATTAGTAAAACAAACCCACAAGGAGTAATGTTTTAGAATACTGAGTAATCGATTATTAAAACACATTCAGATTTGAATAGCTTCTTATGGATGATGGAAGTGTTTTGGTTCGCCTTAAAACTAACACATACTAAGATGAATTTTAAGAAACAGTTTTAAAAAATTATCAATTTAATGTGGTTTATATAAAAATTAGGGTAATTGCCGAAATATTTTTAACTATAATTGAAGAACATTAAAATGAGATTATCCGGAATATTACTTACGCCTGTTATCCCCAATGGAGAATAGGCTGCCCACCAGTTGTCTCCAACAAACTCTGTCCTGGGCTTCCATTTCTATTTCTGTTCAATTTTTGTTCATTCTTCTCATATCTTTCTCCATTTCTCAGCGTAATGTGTTCCTTGGCCTTCCTCTTTCCTTTGACCTTGAGGGTTCCAAGTAAGGGCTTGTCTTGTGACGCAGTTCAGTGCTTTCCTTAATGCATGTCCTATCCCTCTCCACCACTTCTTCCTGATTTCCTCCTCTACTGGAAGTAAGTTATTGCTGATGTTTTCTGGCCAACGAATACGAAGTATTTTGTGTAGAGAAGTGTTAATAAACACTTGTATCATCTGGATGATGGCTTTCGTGGTTTTCCAAGTTTCCGCTCCATACAGTAGAACTGTCTTCACATTTGTATTGAAAATCCTGATTTTGGTGTTGATTGATATTTGTTTGGAGTTCCAGATATTTTTCAATTGTAAAAATGCAGCCCTTGCTTTGCCGATCCGCGCCCTCACATCTGCAACGGATCCACCTTGATTGTCGTTGATGCTGCCCAGATATGTAGAAGAGTTAACGACCTCCAAGGCATCTCCATCAAGAGTGATTTGATTGGTGCATGTTGTGTTGCATCGGAGAATTTCGCTTTTTCTTTTATGTATGTTGAGACCTACTGCTACAGAGGCTTCTGCTACACTGGTTGTCTTCTCTTGCATTTGTTGATGCGTGTGCGATAGAAGAGCCAGGTTATCTGTGAAGTCCAGATCGTCCATCTGCACCTTAGCTGTCCATTGTATACCGTGCTTCCCTCCAGATGTCGACGTCTTCATAATCCAGTCGATCACCAGGAGAAAGAGAAAGGGTGATGAGAGTAAGCAACCTTGCCTGACACCGGTCTTCACTTAGAAAGCGTCTGTTAGCTGTCCTCCATGCACGATTTTGCAGTTGAATCCATCATAAGAATTCCGTATAATGTTAACCGTTTTCTCAGGCGCACTGTAGTGTAGAAGATCCGGAATATTTATAGAAATCCATGATTTCAAGTCATCGTGCTTTATGGAAACGAACCAATCTATCAAAAAACCTATCATCTTCATCACTTTCTTTCTTTCTTTATGGTTTTTAACTAACTCTGTTGTTATCAAGTTTGTTACATTCTAATAATTCCAGATTATCCCAACATATACACTCTTGAAAAGTTATTTACATAAAACATATTACTCAATAATCAATGTTACTTTAAGGTAACAGTTTAAAGAAATTCTGATTTTAGGAAAAAATAAGCGGGATATTTAATTATCTTATTTATTTTTTATTATTCCTCGGTTTTTTTCGCTATAACTAATAAATAAATAAATATTATTATTATTGTTATTATTATTGTTATTAATAAAACGTAAATATAAGTTATGCCAAATTTCAACAAAAATCTAATTATCTGTATTGTAAGAACCGATGGAATATATATGTTTCTGTGTTATTCAATATTGCGTTATTGAATTAGTGTTTGATATTTTTTTCAGAACAGAAATTTTCCTACTAATAACTATTTGATGGAGTAATTGAAGAACATATGGAAATCAAGACAACGACTATCTATCATCAACAAATGCCGAGAGAGTTTTTTACTTCATGAGGTGGAAACTTTGAGAAACATGTAAGCCATTATCCATAAGATACAAGTGTTTAGTAACAGTTATCTATGTGAGATACTGAAGATCCATCGACCAGACATCATCAGCAATAACCTAATGTGGGAAAGAACAAATCAGATTACAGCAGAGGAAGAACTTAAGAAGAAGCGCTAAAGGTGGATAGGAAATACATTGCGGAAAGCATCGAACTGCGTCACAAGACAAGCCCTAACTTGGAATCCTTAATGTCAAGGGAAAAGAGAAAGACTAAAGAATTCGAGACAGATATCGGAAAAGAAATAACAACAGTTGGATAGAACTGGGAAATGTGGCTCAGGACTGAAGAGGTTGGAGAATGCTGGTCGGTGGCTTATGCTTCTTTCGGGGTAACAAGCTTAAGTAAGTAAGTAAGTAAGTAAGTAACTATTTACAATATTTAGCATTGCTTTTGTTCAATTTCATAATACTTTTTAAGATGATAAACAAGATGGAACTAACAATTTTTAAAAATCATATTTCTACTCTGTCAACAATCATACGCTAATTCTCACAATTATGAGAAACCACAGAAAAGAGCTTAATTTCCGATAAAATGAACAGAAAGACCAATCAATGTAACGCTTTCTTGGTTAAGATTAAATATGTCTGATTTTTTTACTGTGTATACAAACAAGATGAGTTTAGTTTGTTAGTAAAAATCACAAAATCCTAATAGAATCTTTCAGTTTATAAAAGTAGAGATTCTATATTTCAAAATGTACGAATACTGGTAAATAAATCTGTCTTCACTCATCAGTAAGTGTTTGAAAGCTATTAATGATTCAGTAGATACAATTAAAACTAAACAAAAATATTTTATTCATTTGAATATAAAAGTCTTTAAATTAATTGGTTACTTAGTTGAAATAGTTTTATATAATATACATGAAGTTCACTTTCTTTGTTCCTTAATTCTTAAAAAATATCGATCTATTCAATGGAGTAATAAAACAAAAGATTTGAATGGAGAGGCTGATAATACTGTTATTAGTACCACTGTTCAGTTAAATTTTCATGTAATAATTACATCACAATGCGAATTATATCACTTTTATCAATAATATTGTTATACTCGTCTCTAGGTATGTTTACAACTTTCACGGGTTCACCTTAGTCGAATAACGAGAATAAAACAATGAACGAGCGTCCAGGTAGGCTAGTGTGATCTGATTGTCACAAGTGTATCAGCAAGAAGTCTTTATATAGCGTAGAAAGTGTATTCTACAAACAGCCAGCCAGCACACAATGAACCCAAGCACTCAGATCGCGTTTATTTATACACCATAGAGACATCCTTGGGGCAGTCACAAAAATATCACACTAAAACAACACAGTAACCAATCACAGACAAGGATTTTCCTGGTGGGACTTGTAATCTCAAGGTCAGCTGATTGGTCCATCAAAAATAAATCCAAAATAAAGATAATTATCAAGTGAGAGCTCTGGGAATCTAACATCCCCAACAATTATTATCATAATTCTTGTTAGAATTGACTATTTTTTTTCTATTTTTGTTATTCATCACAAATATAAGCCTCTTGATTTTCTATAGACAGCAACATAATTAGCATATATATATATGATGTTGTTGCGCCAAATTTAAATTCTCGTCACTTATCATGTACATAAACAAACGATAAAATCTACTAACAAAATAACCCTAGTATGGTCAATACAAACAAGTTGACATTTTCAATGTCGCGTTAAATCATTCCCGATAATTTCAAGAGAAAATACTAACTAATTTCCTATTTATATGAATTTATCAATTTTAGAACTAATGATCGGAAGCACGCAATATTCTTTGCTAATATTTTCAGTTATCATAAATTATAAAAAAAAATTAAAGATTTCTACAGTTCGATTCAATGGGATAGTTTTTTAAAAATTGCAAGCTGTATGTGTAGTTGTAGTCTTCCTATTGTATTTTTTTGTTGTGATTAAAACATTATTCTGATTGATTTATGAACGAATACATCAATTCATAGAATACTGTTCATTGATATAACTAACTGATCAGACAATGTTACTGATATTTTACGAACATTCATTTCGTCTCTCTTCATACAATAAGCATGCTAATTAAATTTTGGGGCAGAGTTTTGGAGGTTTGCGTTTTTACACATTAGAAATCATCAATCAATCATTGTTAGACCACCATTAGAAACCTGGAAGCACTGGACGGCCGTTTCGTCCTGGTATGGGACTCATCAGCAATGCGCATCCACGACTCCTGCTTCTCGCAGGATTCGAACCCGGTACCTTCGGCATTGTAGGCGAACGCCTTACCATCGGACCACTGGGCCGGCATCCAACGGTGCTTCCAGTGCTTCCAGGTTTCTAATGGTGGTCTAACAATGATTGATTGATGATTTCAAATGTGTAAAAACACAGACCTCTAAAACTCTGCCCAAAAATATCGTAACAGTGCTCACTAGTGACTAGCTTCGTGGGGGAAATTCTCGGAGTTCTAGTTGAGAAGACGTGACCAATGGAGTTCAACCCTGTCGGGTGTAGGCAGTAACTACCAAAGACAAATGGGTGAGGTCGCGCAAAATCCGTAGACCAATCAGAGTGAGACATTAGCAGCGTTGGATACCGGCCCAGTGGTCCGATGGTTAGGCGTTCGTGCGAAATACCGAAGGTCCTGTGTTCGAATCCTGTGAGATGAAGGAGTTGTGGATGCGCATTGCTGATGAGTCCCATACTAGGACCAAACGGTCGTTGAGTGCTTTCAGGTTTCTAATGATGTGGTCTAACAATGATTGACTGATGATTTCAAAAACGTGTAGAAACACTGATCTCCATAACTCTAATTGAAAATATTATATGAAAATACCAGAATAAGATTTACTTTAAACCCTATTAAGAAATTTCACGATGATAATATAAATACGCCATTTATCAGGAATATTTTACCGTTAGTTAGGGGAGCTGACTAAAAACACAATCACAAAGGAATTCATTCATTTACATATTTATATATATATATATAACTTACCTGAGGAAGTAATGTAATCATAAATATGAAGACAATAACCAATAAAAATCTAGTCATTCTATTCTCAACTTTTTCACGTTCATTTTCAAATGCATTACGTTTACGCATTAATGTAGTATTTAAATGTTTTGATGAAGTCATATATGGTAAAGTATTTTTTTCCATATGCATTGATTGTAGTTTTGTATGATTTTGATTATTCATAGTGATGATATGATTTTTATTCGTGTCGAATTCATTACTATCAACTATCAATGAATTTGTACTAGTAGGATTTGGTGAACTAGATGGATCAGCTACTGCTGCCGCCGACTCCGCCGCCGCTGACGCCGCCGTCCCAGCAGATCCAACAACAGCAGTGCCCATGTAAACTGTTGATTTTGCTTTCATTTTTCGCATACGTGCATTTTGTCTACGTATCATGAATATAATTAAAAAACTCAGCACAGATAAACAGAGCAATGGTAGTAGTTTCAAAAAAATCGCTGTATTCCAATATAAATATTTCAACATAATTTGATTATCCACATAAGTGACCATATAACTATTGTTATCATCACTATTATTATTATTGTTTACAACTATATGATGATTCATAATACATGGTATAGATAATATACTACTAATAATAAGTACTATTGTTACAGCAAGTTTAGCACGTTGTATACTGCATAAAATTTGACATTGTACAACATATTTCACATATAATACACGAAACACAGCAATCACTACAACAATATAACTTGAAGTTAAATGTAGAAAATTTTGTAAACTTATATGAAACAATAAATAAACAGCCCAATTATATGTTGAATTACGTGTATGTTGACCAATTAAGAAATAACTTGCAAATGGTATATAGAATATCATTAATAAACCATCACTGATAGCTAATGATGTCAAAAGGAAATTTGTTGGTGATATCATATTACGTTGATTTAGTACAATAACAATGCATATATTTGAGAGTACACAAAAAGGACATAGAAATAATGTTATGTAACCATGCATATCACCATAAATACGTCCAAATAATTCTAAGGATTCAATAGGTTTACATTTTACACTCATTGTTGGCATAATATTCGTAGTAGTAGTAGTAGTAGTGCTGGTCAATTCACTTCTTCTTGTTGTAGTTGTCATATATTGATTGACTTCATTGATTGTAGATGTTGTTGATAGAATGTTTGTGGCTAATGTCGATGCTAACGTTGTAAGCATTGTTGTGGTCACTTGAGTTAGATTATTACTGAGCATGATTCAATGTACAATATACACATAAATATATATATCCTAAGTTGTATAATCCATTAGAGTGAAACAATCTGGAATATAATGTAAGAAGAGAAGAGAAGTAACTTTATATTAATATAAAAACCAATAGAATTGAAACAATCATTAGAAATATATATTTACATTATAAGTGATTAGAATTTCAAAAGGGGACAGTTCGACAAAAGTTTCGCGCCAATTATGTCAGCTGTTAAAAAATGTCAATAATTCCAATGGTTTGTTTCGATTTTTGTTTGTTTCAATTCAAGGATAGCATTTATACAATTCTAGAACATCTGGAACTCAAAACAACTATTAATCAACATCAAAATCAGAATTTTCAATACAAATGTCTAGAAAGTTCTAATGTATGAGACGGAAAATTGGAAAACTACCAAAACCATTATCCAGAAGATACAAATATTCGTTAAAAGTTGTCTACACAAAATACTTCGGATTCGTTGGCCAGATACTATCAGCAACAATCTACTGTTAGGAGAGAACAAACCAGATTCCAGTGGAGGAGGAAATTAGGAAGAAGCGGTGGAAGTGGATAGGACACACATTGAGGAAAGCACCGAACTGCGTCAAGCCCTCACATGAAATCCTAGAGCCCAACGGAAAAGAAACACGCCAAGGAGACAGGCATAAGAAGAATGAACAAAAATTGAACAGAACTGGGAAGAGAGACCCAGGATAGAGTAGGTTGGAGAATACTGGTCGGCTCACTATGCTCCATTGGGGGTAACAGGCGTAAGTAAGTAAGTAATTCGTCTCTGATTACTTTTAAAATGATAACTTAAATGATTGTCCGTTTATTCTTAGTCAACAGATACTTTATTCATTTTGAGTTAGTCATTTGTACTTTCATCTATACAATAAATTTAACAATTATTGTTCTCCCTACCTTAGCTAAGGATGCATTAAATTTTATTGTGATTCGACATTAGTGTCTAAATACAACACATATACTTGGTTAAAATCATCAATCAATCATTGTTAGACAACCATTAGAAACCTGGAAGCACTGGAAGGCCGTTTCGTCCTAGTATGGGACTCATCAGCAGTGCGCATCCACAACTCCTGCACCTCGCAGGATTCGAACTCGTGACATTCGGTATTGTGCGCAAACGCCTAACCATCGGACAATACCGGAGGTCTCTGGTTCGAATCCTGCGAGATGAAGGAGTTGTAGATGCGCACTGCCACTGGTGAGTCCCATCCCAGGACGAAACGGCCGTCCAGTGCTTCCAGGTTTCTAGTGGTGGTTTAACAATGATTGATTGATGATTTCAAAAATGTGTAGAAACACAAATCTCCAGAGCTCTAACTGAATAACACTTATACTTGTGTAACGTTGTGAACTCTGTACACATCAAATGATTTGAATTTTGACAATACACTAGCATTTAAACAAAACTGAATAAGTAGTTATATCTACATTATTTCTAATCGCTGTTTACTGTTGATAATTTGAATTTTATTTCTCTAATTTATTATACTTCATTTATTTCTTACATAATATTTAAATTTGTACAATAAAACGTTATTGAAATACATACACTTATCAGCTGAACTTGTACAGCCAAACTCTTAAGGAACATAACTGTTAAAAATGTCAGTTATTGAAAAGTTTTTCATTATAGTGTTATGGAGATCGTTATTTTACATAAAAATCATGAATAAATCATTGTTAGAAACCTGGAAACATTGGATGACCATTTCATCTTAGTGTGGAATGTATTTTGATCAAAGTTGTTAACCAATTCAGAAACTATCGTTTGTCAAAAAAAGTTTTAAAAATTTACGAACAGAGAAATAGGTATGTTTATATATATGATATTAATATTGAGTAAACTGTTTGGATGTAAATTTAAAAACTTCTTAAAAATGATTTTTTTCACTAGGAAGTGAAAGTTGAGGAACAATAAAACATCATAAAACTAACTCTGATATTAAATTTGCTATGAAATAAATCTCCTCTTCAGTTTCCGTATATCATATTTAGGTAAACTGCGTTTGTGCGACAACGGTAGTAAGAAGCTAAATACGGATTTGGTTGAATGCGTTTATTTTAGACAATCGTTCGTACAGACAGACATGGGAATATAAGTTATACAAGCAAAGCGAAGCGAAGTGCAGAAGGTGAGCAGGCTAACTCAATGTACCTGAAAATTTACAGTCAGAAACAATAAGCTAGACATATAATTAGTGAAACAAACGGCACACACACTTCAACAGAAACAACCAAGATGAAATCGAATGATTGTAAAGGTCAACAGGTGTGTGAGTAATTCTAGGAAAATGGATTATTAATTTGTTTAGAAGTTGAGATAAGACCTGTGGACTCGACTACAAACTATAATATTCGTTTTTGTTCAACTATTCATATCAAACAGAAAATGTTAACATTTAGTGAATTTCGATTTCTGTATTATTTATTATTCAATTCGATTGTTAAAATGCATTACAGAGACATTCAGTTTATTTTTTCAGTAATCGACGGTTCAACATACAAATAATAAATATGAGACAGTGAAATGAAATTGGTTGGTTTTTCTACTTAAGATTAACACACTAACCGAGGAAAATGATTATTCAAGAAAACGTTGGATTGTGATACAATTCATTAAAATTAACTTGGTTCTCATTCCTTATTAAATTGTATCCACTATTTGCAATATTCATATTGAGATGGTGGAGAAGATTTGTAGCTCAGGTAGATGATTGTGGTGGTGGTGTTTGGTTCTCTGAGCTGGATGTTTTGGTTGTGGAGCTTTCATTGCTCTTCTTCTGAACAACATCATCAGCACAAACTTCAGATAGAAGAAGTGAAGCATTCGAATTTCGCCACGTTTGATCTGTAGCTTGTTCTGCTAACCTCGATCTTGATTGGTTGCTGTTGACCTTAAACCTGTCGTTCTTTGCACCTTTGTTTTGATTGCATCCTCCCCTGAAGTTCGTGTTGATGATGTTGTTCAGAAGAACAATGAAAGCTCCACAACCAAAACACCCAGCTCAGAGAACCAAACACAATCACCGCAGTATTCATATATATGTTTAAACCTGTGAAAAAGGACGCAATGATTTTTTCATATGAAAACAAGTTAATCTACATGAAGCGGGTCTTTACCAAAATGATTCAGCAAATTCTTTCATTTATAAAACTTCTTGAAATTATTGATCAAACAATGTTTATTTATGACGAAGATTCAAAATACTTATGAATGTTTACATTGAAATCATGAATGAATCGTTGTTAGATAACCATTAGAAATGTGAAAGCACTAAATGGCCGTTTAGTCCTGGTATGAGACTCATCAGCAGTACCCATCCACGGCTGTCGCTACTTTCAGGGATCGAACCTATGACCTATGGGTCTTGCGCACGAACCCTTAACCTCTAGTCCACTAAGCCACCATCCAACAGTGTGAATGTTTAACTCTGATCAATCTGAGGATTTCGCGCAACATCACCCACTGTTCACAGTAGTTACTGCTTACACCCGACAAGGCTGAAATTCACTGGTCATGTCTTCTCACTAAAACTCCAAGAATATCCTCACCATTTGACGATTTTAATGTAAAACAACGCTCTTCATAACTTCATAATGAAAAAAATTAATGTTTACTTCAAAATAAACACTTAAATTTTGTAAAAAAAAGTGTTATGTTGCCACTATAGATGTTCATTTAGGCATTTATCTAAAATATGATTTATTGAATAGAAAGTTTTGCATAACAATTTCCCGTCACTTAACTACTACTTTTTTTTCATAAAATTTTAATAAAACACTTCAGTTGTTTCATTTTTTGAATTCGATAAGTTTTGAAATTGTTTTAATAAACAAACTTGAATGTGAATGAATTGTTTAAGTGTTGTAGCCAGAGTTGTTGACAATCACAATTGAAAATAAGTTTATCAGTGTAAAATCTATGTAGTGTTTTGCAAAATATCTAACTCTGATTTACGTCATCCAAGTGTATGTTTTTGTGAATTTCTGTGGGAACAGGAAAAAATATTAATTCATTTACTTAAATTTATGTCATTAAGTGATTCAAAAATTAGTTCAGCCTGATGAAAGCCTTTAAGATTAGACTTTTTTTTATTTAATAATTCATATTACTATCTGTCACCATGAATCGACCAATGTTGTTAGACCACCATTAGAAACCTGGAAGCACTGAACGCCCGTTTCGTCCTTGTATGGGACTCATCAGCAGTGCGCATCCACGACTCCTGTCTTCAAATCCTGCGGGGTGCAGGAGTCCCATACCAGGACGAAACGGCCGTCCAGTGCTTCCAGGTTTCTAATGGTGGTCTAACATTGATCGATTCGTGGTTACAAATAAAACTTAACAATCTTCACAACAACCCTGCAATGCAATTACATGTGTCCACTAGTGACTAGCTTGGTGAGGAATCTTCTCGGAGTTCTAGTGGGAAGTCGTGACCAGTGAAGTTCAAACCTGTTCGGATGGATACAGGGTATGAGGTTGGGCGAATCCGTGAATTTGATCAAGTTAGACATTAACACCGTTAGATACCCGCTCTGTGGTCTAACGATTAGGGCGCTCGCGCACAATACCGAAAGTCCTGGGTTCGAATCCTGCGGGGTGCAGGAGTCGTGGATGCGCACTGCTGGTGAGTCTCATACCAGGACGAGACGGCCATCCAGTGCTTCCAGGTTTCTAATGGTGGTCTAACATCGATCGACTCATGGTTACAAATTAAACTTAACAATCTTCACAACAACCCCGCTATGCATATTACTATCATTGTTGTTCTTCACCGTGACCTTATGAGGTTGTCGTACGGAGAAATCTAAGACTCATCATTTCTGCCTAAGTGGTTGTTTTGCGACATTCCCGAGGGCCATTGTCATTAGGGTGCTGTATTACATATCACCATTGCTAATAATAATGATGAGTTTGACAGTCATGTGGGCGGGATGGGTCGTAAATGGCCTGTTCACGCGGTGCATATTGATTGACGCGATCATTGATCGGAAATATATATACCATTGTGTGTATATGAAATGGTGTGAATGGTCCATCAGGGTATCAGGTACCTGTGTGGTTGTACCACAGGATTTAGTCGAACTATTCATGTAGTAATGGTAAAACGTGTGCAGTCTCTTTGGTTCTCCTGAAAACCAATGTAAAACTGCCCTTGGCAATACAGGGTAAATTTATATAATTGTGAATGAAATTATAATTGTGTCTACTCACATAAGACATTTGAAATCATATCATTATCAAGTAAAAAATAATGTCATGCATTATAATATGGTCTGGTGTATAAAGGCAAACCTACTGTATATGGCAAATCAATACTTTTCTGTGCAAAAGATGATATTAATTATTTTGTGAAAGAGAGAGTACAATTCATAGTACTGTTATATTTAATCAGTGGATAGACAATAATTGTCGTCATACGCTCAGTAAAAACATACATTTGGTAAGATTTTTAGAGGGTCGTTTCAGTTTAATTACTTACTTACTAAAGCTGGTACCCTTAACGGAGCATTGGTCACTGACCAGCATTCTCCAACCAACATTGTGCTGGGTTTTCCATTTCAGTTCCATCCAATAACTGTTCAGTCGTTCCATGTGTTTCTCTAATTCGCGACGCATTGTGTTCATTAGCCCTCCTCTTATCGTTTAACCTTGAGGATTCTAAGTGGAAACTTGCCTTGTGACACTGTTTTTGGAATATACAAGCTAGCTCATCTGTAAAGTCCAAACTGTCTAGCTTCATCGGAACTGTCCACAATTTTCCACACAACCCATGAGATGTTGACCTCTCCATAATCCAGACGAACTCCAAGAGAACGAGAAAGGTGAGCGTAATCAACATTGTCTGACACCAGTCTTCGCTTGAAACGAGTCTGTTAACTGTTCTCCATGCCTGATCTTGCAGTGTAGTCCATCATAAGAACCCCGTATAATGTTGACTGTCTTACCAGACACGCCGCAGTGTCAAAGAAGTTTCCTCGGTTCCATCCTGTTCACACCATCGAATGCTTTCTCGAAGTCAATGAAGTTGTTAGTTTCACTCAACTGATCGTTCTACAATGATCTAAAATGTTGCAGTTTGGTCGGTACACAATCAATCCAGTCCAGCCTGTTGATCTCAATGTTGGGCATCTACAGAGTCCCTCATTCTGTTTAACAATACCCTGTTGAAGACTTTGCCTCGTATCGAGAGTAGAATGATGCTTCTGTAGTTCTCAGATTTGCTGAGACAGCCTTCCTTTGGTATTTCGATTAGGTATACTTCTATACAGTCTCCTGGTACTTGTTCTTGATCCCAAATCTTGCTGAAGAGGATGTGGAGTATCTTTGCAGTTGCTGCCTCGTCTGCTTTAATTATCGCTACTAAAATGTTGTCTGGTATTGTTGCTTTGCCGCTCTTCATTTATCTGATAGCCACGCTGCTCTCTCCAATTGTTGATAGCTCAATATTATTTGAGTGGTCCGTCAGCGCTGCTTCGATGTTGATTAGGTTCAGTGGAGCTGGTCGATTCGAGAGTTCTTCGAACTGCTCTGCCCATCTGTCTCGCTGCTCTTCAATGCCGGTGATTACGTTATCTTCCTTGATCTTGACTGATTGTCCATGTTTAAGATATTTTCCAACGAACTACTTCGTTTTGTCACATCATTTTCTCATATTTCCTCATCTTACAACTTACTCTGCCTTCATTGTTACATCTTCCAACTTATAAGTCTTCAAAAATTTAATTTTATTACAATGATCATCCGTTGAGCTTTCTCTTTAATTAAAATTTCACAATATATTTTCCTTTATTTTAGATTTTTTTTCTCAATGAAAAACTCGATTGTAATTACAATTTCATCAAAATAGGGAAAAACAAAAAAAAACATCTTGTCACATTTAATCAACATTATTAAATTAATTTCAATTTCTATTTTTTGTTTTGTTTCATTGATTGAAGAACTTTTTGATTTCAACTATCAACCAGCCAATAAATTTAATTACAATTAATTTTTACGATTGGATAAATAAATGAAATGTAAAAAAAAATAAATTTCATTGAATATTGAAATTCTCTTTCCAAAAAGCACGCGCACGAGCAGTGGCTCCCGTTCGGGCACTTATGAATCAACAAGATTCCTCCAGCCAATCCACTACCCACAATCCCTAATCGGCGAGGGCAGCAAGGCGGGCTTATCCAGCCCGACCTGGCACCCTGAACGGATTACCGAGCCACCGAGCAGCCGTTACAACCGTCTGGCCTCCAACTGTCTTGCGCTAATACAATCGACTGGAGCCCTCAGACCTCACATGAAGCTAAAGATTGAGTTTGTCCCACAGGGTCAGCCGGAACTTACACTGTCCCATGGGGAAGATGTCATGAACTCGACCAAGCGCGAGCACCACTCAGCCAAGTAGGGTTAATCCCACTACATAAGTGGGCAGACATCATTGGCGTCCAGTACCCTTTAGCACCGGATCACATAATCCGATTGGAGACCCTTGTTTGAGGGGTCTCGATGCCAGTTGACACTAAACACCGAGATGCACATTGTTTGGGACAACCACATAGGGTCGGGGTCAATAGTCCAGGATCTTTACGACCGCGTCCCCAAACAACTCGTCCGTGGCCGCCTTCAAGTATCCAGGAAAGCTATATACCATTATCTTCAAATTTACCTACGCTCAGTGGACGGGATTCAAACTCGTAGGAGTTTAGTCCTAATCCCCCAGAGTGGTCAACCGCATCCACGGCCTTGCGATCATAAACACGTACCATTATTCTGGACCATGCTAGGCACGGCATTCTAAGCTTTCAGAACGGCTTTTTGCCTCAGCGCTGTAAACAACGCCACGTTGCCTGGCAGGACCACGAAGAAGTACCCGCCACCACAACATCCAGAAGGCTCCATTTATGCGCGTCACCTAATATACCCATTCAATTAGATGACGAGGCATTAGGCTACCTTAACAGAGTCATAGTTACTCTTGCCAAAGTCAAAATAATATCTCAAAATTACATTAACTGCGTGACTTCTCAATTTGTTCAATGTGTACTACACCTATAGGAATATAAAAGGCTACATTGTATTTGAAAAGATATTATATCTTAGTATTTTTCCATTCATCATTCAGATGACTACATTTTAGCGAGTAATTTATTGATGAAATAATTGTGTGGCAACTTTAATGTTGTGTTTATTTATTCAACTATTTTGCGAATTTTTTTTTAAAAAAAATAGTTTTTAAACAAAACTATTCATGCAAAGATTGAATATTGAACAAAATATTTCATAAGTATTATTTATCTATTCATTCATTCATCTAATCATGTATCTGTCATTTTAATTAACGTATATTTCTAAAATTGAAACCAATAAGTACATATATATATATATATATATATATATAAATTTAAATGCTTGCGTTTCAACTTTTTTATTTCATCATGTTAGAAATAGTTTTTAGATTCATCTTAAACAATAGAACAATTAATTTTGTAGTTTTTGTGGCAGGCAAAGAGATGAAAATCAGTGTACACTAACAGCAATATATATATATATATATATAAGTATATATAAGTGCACATTTATAGATCATGGCTAATTTTCAATGTTTACAGTCAAACAAACTTTTTATTCAATATTCAATATTTTTGACATATGGATAGAAGAAATTTAACAAGAAAAACGTTTTTTGTTTCTTTGAATTTCTTAAATTTAGGTATAATACATTCAATGACAGAAATTCTATCCATCTTATGAAGAAAAAAAAGAATACTATTCTAAATCAATCAATTAACGAATGAATAAGCAAATAAAGTAAGTAGTTTTTCTTGTAAATTCATCAAGATTATTTTATTTTTTTTAAAAGAAACTAAACTGAAAATACTGTTATACTGGTAGTATACGAAAGCTTAGCAAATTATTCATATTTACGGTAATTAGATTAAATGCGATAATCTAGATTAGCATACTCAATTTATTTAACTCATTCTATTCTCGAAGATGGAATGAATATATATATATATATATATATATATATATATATATATATATATATATATATATTGAGATAAATAGTGTATGATGTTATTTAGAATTTTATTTGAAACCATGAATCGACCAATGTTAGACGACCATTAGAAACCTGGAAGCACTGGACGGCCGTTTCGTCCCGGTATGGGACTCATCAGCAGTTAGGGCGTTCGCGCACAATACCGAAGGTCCTTGGTTCGAATCCTGAGGGGTGTAGGAGTCGTCCATGCGCACTGTCACTGATGAGTCCCATACCAGGACGAAACGGCCGTCCAGTGCTTCCAGGTTTCTAATGGTGGTCTAACATTGGTCGATTCATGGTTACAAATAAAACTTAACAATCTTCACAACAACCCCTCAATGTTATTTAAAATTGTATTTTTGTATAAAAGGATTTTGTGTAGGTCTTCAATAATAGGCGAAATCATTTAAGTGACTTGTAGGGTATCTCTCTACCCTATTTTCGTTCATGATTTTTTAACCATGAGCTTACATACACACACAACGCATTACATGATGTTACATGTCGTTGTTAGTAATGCAGTTCTATTAGGTGAAAAAATGAAATAGTCTTTAGTGACTGCATTGAATTCAAAGTAGAGCTCGTCAATTTAATGGCTGGCCGTTGATCTGACTTCGGTATTTATGAACGATTAAATTTGCAATGAAATACATCTCTGCTTCAGTTTCCGGACCCTGTTTACGTTATAAGAAGCCAAATACAACTTCCGTTGGATAAGTTCGTTCATGCGAACAGATATGAGGATAAAGAGCATACGAGCTAGGCAAAGCGTAGCGAATTTCAGACGACAGGCGAGTCAATTCAACTCGATGAAGCACGGCTAAGTATTTGCAATCAGACAAGATAAGCTAGACATGTAATAAGCGAAGTAGGCGTGCGCATACGCACTCAAATAAAAACATCCAAGAGATAAGCGAGTCGTTAACACAGTCCAAGGACATGTGAATAATAACTCGGGAAGAATGGATTAATTAGTTTCTTCAAAAGCTGGGTGAGACAAGCCCCGTGGCCTCGACATATTAATGCATACCATACTAATCCATCATTTCACCTTTTTCGAACCTAGTTTTATGCTACACGTACTAACTAGTTTGATTTAGAAACTAATATTTTTTACTAAGCTTCTTCAACATAATTTGTGAATGCTATAAATGTTACTGAAATCATGAATCGACCATTGTTATTATACCACAATCAGAAACCTGGTAGCACTGGATGTCCGTTTCTCCTTGTATGCGACTCATCAGTTCCAAGGTTCGTGTTGTGGATGCGCACTGCTGATGAGTCCCATACCAGGACGAAACGGCCATTCAGTGCTTTCAGGTTTCTAATGGTGATGGTCTAACAATGATTCATTCACGATTTCAGCAATAAACAACAATCGCTTAACTCTTAATGAAGAATATATAAATATATCACAGTCGATTCACTGGGATATTATTGTATAAATTCGAATATAAAATTATATTTTCTGAACTGTTAGTGAATGCAATTTTCCAAATAAACGATATTATTGATTAGCATTAAAAAGATACATTTTCAATTACTCTCACTATAAATGAAATGAATTTCCGTGATATACGATAAATCATATACGTATATATATATATTTTTGAAGGGGGCAAACTATAATTTATACCCACACACTGAACTGCTTCCTACTCAAGCTGTTTTAAGTTGAAACGAATGAACTAAAAAATTTATGATTATGTTTACGAATTTTCTAACTTCATGAGTAATCAAAATTCATGGATGTATTTTGTTTTTATTTTTACTTATTGATAATTACTCTAACATTTACAGAGTTTATCAAAATAAAGTTTGCATTAAACTTGGCCGATATTTTTTGTTTGTTTGAATGATTAATTAGAGTATTTTGAATGGAATATTCTTTGTTCATTGATCAATGTTTTATAATGATGGCGATATTTTAAAAAAATGAATACATACCTACGTAAAAACATTAATTCGTTATGCCTTGAATTGTTTTGTTTTGTTTTGCGCTAACTTTAAATTTCATTTTTTTTACAAGTTTAATACGTTTTATAGTGAATATATCTATTGTTTATTCGAAAATATCTTCAACATTGATCATTGTATAAATTCTTCAAAAAAATATGCAAAATATGTGCAGGCCATTTTATTTCTAGCTAAAAAAACTTGTAAACAGTGTGATAAAACTATGGTATAAATAAGACGGAATTCTGTTAAAAGTAAAAAGTTATGAATAAGTCAATAGTGTTTAGAAATGAAAAAAGATGAACAGTTTTTAATCAACGATTCATATTAATTTTAACGATTCCCAGTCTGAATATTAGAACAACACAGATAGAAGCGAACAAAATTGTTTTCAATAAGTTTGTCATCAGGCTTTACTCACTAATATGCATGACTATATGAAAATGTTTAACCAATCAAGGCAATTTGAATCAATAGTCACAATCAAACAGATTACGTCACTGCATACACTAGGCAGCCGCACATGTTGATAGTAGGAAGACAGATGTACTGATAGTAGTAAGAAAAATATAAAATACGATAACAAAAGTTTTTTGTCGATAGGAGGTCAAACGTGGATAAATAGACTCAAAAATACTCTTCACAAAACATCAAAACCATTACGTAATAAGCAGTGTATACATAAATTAGATAGTGAAGAATATGAAGGGGAAGAGGCAGAAAATTACCAACCAATACAGGATGTGAAAATAATACTTATTATAACAAAATAAAATTGAAATCAAAAAATATTTTAAAACGTTAGTTACGTTATTTCCGGTCACGGAAGAGATAAGTGTGTCACGAATTTCTTCTGAACACATAAATTGAGGTTGAATGTACGAATTCCTATTGCTTCTGTTATGTGTAGTAGATGGGATCGAACTCGGTTGAGAACATTTTCATAAAAATATATTCATGTATATTAAAGAGTCAAGCCTGATGACTATTTAATCGAAAACAATAATATTGTTCGCTTATATCTGTGTTGTTCTAATTCATATTAAACAAATTAAACTGTATATCTGCAAAATGTTAATTCAGTATAGATTTTCTAAGTTACAAACTGTTTTAAACACATGAATACTATTAATTCTGATCATAAATTGCTTAAATTTATATCATAGAAGAAAATTAGATATTCATCTGAAACATGTTATCAAATTGACAAATGTACTAATTGAATTCAAAGACACTGTAATGTTACTACCTTAGACCTACTACTACTACTACTACTACTACTACTACTACTACTACTACTACTACTACTACTACTACTACTACTACTACTACTACTACTACTACTACTACTACTACTACTACTACTACTACTACTACTACTACTACTACTACTACTACTACTACTACTACTACTACTACTACTACTACTACTACTACTACTACTACTACTACTACTACTACTACTACTACTACTACTACTACTACTACTACTACTACTACTACTACTACTACTACTACTACTACTACTACTACTACTACTACTACTACTACTACTACTACTACTACTACTACTACTACTACTACTACTACTACTACTACTACTACTACTACTACTACTACTACTACTACTACTACTACTACTACTACTACTACTACTACTACTACTACTACTACTACTACTACTACTACTACTACTACTACTACTACTACTACTACTACTACTACTACTACTACTACTACTACTACTACTACTACTACTACTACTACTACTACTACTACTACTACTACTACTACTACTACTACTACTACTACTACTACTACTACTACTACTATTATGGAAGTCGAGTGAAAAATTCGATCACTGTGCTCATGTGGTACGGCAACCTGAACTGATGTATGTACGTACGTTGTAACCGACTGATATTAAACTAAAGTGACATAAGTTATAAGTCTAAGCATATATATATATATATATATATATATATATATATATATATATATAAAGCAGTTTAATTATACACATAAGTTTGGATAAGTAATTAACTATATGAACATTACTGTGTAAAGAGAATAAGACAACAATCTGACGAGTCGATGGATAAATAAATTGCTGAATACAACTGAAGATTAGACAAAAGGTACACTTGTTAACTTATTACTGTATTCAACTGTAGTTCTTTCATGAATAATGTCAGACCTATCCACTGAATAACAGTTAATTGAATAAAACGCCTTCCAGAAACATAAAACATTGCTTAAGTTAAACTTTGATCAGCCATAAGGAGATTTGAAAAGAGGAGTAATTTTTTCAAAAAGCTATTGTAGACAAAGTTTGTAATTTATTTGAAAGATCGATTATTCTGAGTAACGCTATATTATATTTCTACAAATCAATTGTGACAAAAGTTCTGTAAAGTAATCATTTGATAGCCGAAAAAATGTTTAAAATGTATGAAAATCTTAATACCGAAAGAGAACTTTACTAATTCCCAAACTCCCCTTGATATACATCAGTCAGTCAATAACCACAATTCAATACAATTTAAGAAAAATTGATTGTTTCTACTGCGGTAGCATAGTCTCAGTCATATTAATAGATGTAGACTACCTGGTTAGGGTCTGCGAGACAAAAGTAACCAATGGTTATAGACCTTGAACGACATGGTTCAAAATCGTTTGCAGTGACACAGGTGCATCCACTCTTTGTTTTCTCTCAAATTCTAACCTTCTGAATTTCACATCATCTCTATCTTCCTCTCTTTCTAAATTTATCTCATTGAATAATATCTTCGAACCCTAATCTTGTCGATTACCACTAATACTTCTACTGTCGCTACCACTAAGTTAGTTGAACTGACAGTTGCGTCTCTGTGCTGTTGTGGTATGACAATCTGAACTGATGTACATATGTACGAAGTTCTACGTTGCAAATGACTGACTGACTTATATCATTCAACCTTAATGTTTTAACGATGAAATCAAGCGATAATTTAGTTGTATAACTACACAATTCACTTGAAAGCATGAAATAAACGTTATTATCTTGAATTGTTTTATCCACATTATTAGACTGACAGTTTACTAACTACATGATAAATTGTGATCTCTTTAAATGCATGACAAAATTTGTACAATACACTTTCTAAAATCAAGTTCAACTGCACTTACCATTGTATCAATAATCGTTAAAAATATAAAGAGAACATTTTTTAGTTTTATTCATAATTTTGTATATGTATTATCTGAAAAGAAAGATGCATTTTCACACTCAATTTATTGAATTTTGAATTTTATCCTATACATATTAAAACATTGAATGAATACTCGTTTGAATAATGTCTTGGAATATAAAAAATTATATCCGATTATCAATCAAGTTTGTGAATATATGTATATATATATATATATATATATGTATATATATATATATATATAAGTAGTATATTTAAATATCTACTAATTCATATTTTAATGTATATATTTTTATGTAAAAGTTAACTTGCCTACCGTACGGTTGCTAGAATTGACCAATAGCAAAAAAAAAACAATATCATATTGCAAAACTAAATTCATTGAAATAATCTGATTGGTTAAATTTTTCCATTAGAAATGAAACAAACTGGTGAAAGTAACATGAATCCGATCATCCATCCAGTTCATTGTTAATGGATATGTAGTCCAAAGTTCGGTGAAGATTTTATACAACTTTGTCACAGGTTATATCAAAGAATGAACAGCTTGAAAACTATTGAAAACAACTAAACGGAGAACTAGTGGTTATCTGACATTAAAAACAAGCACAATCAGTTTACTTTAATTATGCGGCACAAACCGTAGCTAATTCGAAAAGTCTTAGAGATATGCCTTGTTTTTATCAATAATTCATAAGGATAATTTCGTTTGGTCTAACTTGATGCATTTAACTGAGTGATCACAGTGAATAACGATCACACAATATCATGTATGAACTGAAGCTTGGAATGGTAAAATACAAAATTTCAGATCGTGATTATCTATTTTTTTATAATTCTGTGCATAACCGTGAATGTCCACAAATAAACACTGACCATTTAGTGTAAAATAGCTGATCAATTTTCAGTATTTCATTCAAAATATGTGTTACATATGCCTAACCACTAACTGCCTCGTCAAGTTATGTTTTGCGATATAGGAATAGGTTGGAAGAAAGCTAGGGGGGCGGCCAAACCAAAACATCGCAGAAATGCATGAAGTCACTCATGACAAGTGAACGGAGTCATGTTGATAAGTGTTTTCTTACCTGGTCGGGACCCGCGAGATGCTAGTAATCGATGATTAGAGACCCTGAATGACATGGCTCAAAACCGTTTGTAATGGCTCAGGTGGATCCAATCGTTTCGTTTCTCTCGAATCATAATCCTCTGGACTCTTCATCACCTTTATCTATTTCTTTTTAAGTTTCTTTCACTGGATTCTACTTCTTGAATTATATCATCGAACCCTAATCTCTCCGATTACTGCTAATACTTCTACTACCTCTATTACTATGGGATTTGAATGGACAATTACATCTCTGCGCTAATATGGTATGGCAACATGAACCGATGTAAATACGTACGTACGAGGTTCTACGTTACTGTTGATTGACTGACTGATTTCATTCAAAAGTGAATTATTCAGTGTCTCTGAGTAGTATGTGCAAATTTCTATTTCGTACGACATATGTATTGTTATTCATTCATTTAACAAACCAACTGATAGGATGTAAAAAAAACCAAGACAGCAACAATAAAAGACGAATATACAAACTCAAATTTGGCTGGTATTTTCTTTGATGAAAAACTTTCTTACAAAAATGCCGCCCTTCATTTATTTCACATGAATAATCTAATTGCTGAGAATTTCACATCCTCTCTATTCAAGTGTATTAAATAACTGTTTTATAAATATTTTAATATGTAAAAGGGTGATCCTATTACACTAACAAATTAAATTATAAGATTTGACAACTGTATAAAAAAAGCTATGCATTTTTGAAAGGTTTCCTGAGTTCTATAACATCTATAATATACACTAACCCAGATGAAACAAGCAATTTACGTAGGCACAGTTTATATATATTTATTCTGAAATTCTAAATGTTCCGCATGAGTCACGATAGTCGGTATATTTAAAGTCAGCAACATTTCTTTCTTTGATAGAGCTGCTCGTATAAAAAATCGTACTTTATCGCTCGGTTGAATGCAAACCAACTTTCACATACTCAGTTATTTAAATCTGCATGAACAAAATCAACGATGTCTGGAAAATATCGATTGATCAATGACGAATTCTCACTGAACTGTACAAGTAAACACTTAGCTCACATAATAAATCATTTTGTTACTGATAAAATTTTCGTCTATTCATAATATTTATGTCAGACTGGAAAGAAAGATACCTAATCAAAGTACCAAAGAAAGGCAATCTCAGCAAGTGTGAGAACTACAGAGGCATCACTCTTCTCTCAATACCAGGCAAAGTCTTCAACAGGGTATTGTTAAACAGAATGAAGGACTTCGTAGACGCCCAACTTCGTGACTAACAGGCCGGATTTCGTAAGGATCGATCGTGTACTGACCAAATTGCTACATTACGGATCATTGTGGAACAATCAATTGAATGGAACTCACCACTCTACATCAACTTCATCGACTACGAGAAAGCGTTCGATAGCGTGGATAGGAAAACACTGTGGAGGCTTCTTCGACACTACGGTGTGCCTGAGAAAATAATTAACATCATACGGAACTCTTATGATGGATTCAACTGCAAAATCGTACACTGAGGACAGCTAACAGACTCCTTCGAGGTGAAGACCGGTGTCAGGCAAGGTTGCTCACTCTCACCCTTTCTCTTTCTCCTGGTCATCGACTGGATTATGAAGACGTCGACATCTGGAGGGAAGCACGGTATCAACTGGACAGTTAGGACGCAGCTAGACGATCTGGACTTCGCAGATGACCTGGCTCTTCTATCGCACACGCAACAACAAATGCAAGATAAGACGACCAGTGTAGCAACAGCCTCTGCAGCAGTAGGTCTCAACATACATAAAGGAAAAAGCGAAATTCTCCGATGCAACACAACATGCACCAACCAAATCACTCTTGATGGAGATGCCTTGGAGGATGTTAACACCTTTACATATCTGGGCAGCATCATCGACGAGGAAGGTGGATCTGACGTAGATGTAAGGGCACGGATTGGCAAAGCAAAGGCTGTATTTCTACAGTTGATGAATATCTGGAACTCAAAATAACTTTCAGCCAGAACTGAAATCAGAATTTTCAATACAAATGTCAAGACAGTTCTACTGTATGGAGTGGAAACATGGAGAACTATGAAAGGCATCATCCAGAAGATAAATGTGTTTATCAACATTTGTCTACGCAAAATACTTCGGATTCGTTGGCCAGACACCATCAGTAACAACGTGTGTGTGAGAGAACAGAGCAGATTCGAGTGGAGGAGGAAATCGAGAAGAAGCGGTGGAACAATCATAGAACACACACTACCAAAAGCACGTCACTGCATCACAGGACAAGCCCTCACATGGAACCCTCAGGGCAAAAGGAAGAGAGGAAGGCCACGGAACACATTAAGCTGAGAACTAGAGAAAGACATGAGAAAAATGAACGAAAACTGGAAAGCGAAGCTTAGGGCAGAGTTGGTCGGAGAAAACTGGTGGGCGGCCTATGCTCCATTGGGGGTAACAGGCGAAAGTAATTAAGTAAGTAAGTAAGTAATCATATTTATGTGTTAAACAAAAACAATGGAAATTTCTAGTCTTGTGATTTAGGAAAATCTCAGACAATGATAATGATTATA